TGAAACATAGACAAATCCTTTATCAGCCAATTTATTATGATCGGGATACCAAGTCATTCCTGTTCCTGTGTGTAAAACTGATTAACCTGGCTCGGCTAGCTTCATTGCTAGCTCGTATATTCTACCTTCTTCGGATATCTGAATTTACGGAAAATTGACTAGAAAATTTGGTATCCACACTTTAGTATCGTACCGTAATAGGTGTTTTTTAAAATTTCTCCCCGCCCCCACAAAGAACGGAAATCTATGGCATCCACAATTTTAAAGATACCAGAAAATACACGCAAAATCATGGAGAATGACCATATCGACTAGATCGCCGATTCTGACAGACCACCATTCTTTGACAGAGAAGAAATTTACTATGCAGTCTGTGTGTTACGTGGGAATATTATCATGAGCCATTAACATTTGCAGGGTTTGGAAATTGAATGATTTATAGATACATACATATATGTAGATTACGACAATTGCAACAGCTTTCCTTAGTTTTTTCTGATATGCCATGGTATTGATAGATAGATAAAGAGTTTTAGCCAATACAGAGATGAGAGAGAAAGGGTGATAGTTTTTATACATGCTGAGATCCTTATCCCTCTTTGGAATCAGAATTATTTTTTAAGGCTAAACTACGCTGGGCTACTTGGTGCCCTTACCATGTCGTATGTGATTCTATCCATTCCTCCCGCCGTGCTCCTGCCTCTGTTGAGAATAGCTGACTCAAAAGCAGCGGAGCTGAGAGAAAGTGGTCTAACAGACAAAATGTTGAACTTTCGCCAAAGCAGGAACTGTACTTTCAAGAAACTCAAGCTAAGCCAAAGAGCATTCTGGAGTCGCTTAAAGACTTGATGTTTCTCAAGAAAAGCCAGGCTTTCGATGAGTTTGGATATTTACCCTTTGCATTAGTGCACACTCACTAAAGCACGTGTTTGTTGCTTTTTTAGTAATGTTTTGATTACATTTTTAAAAGTTTCTGTCCTCATTGGAGGCTTAAAGTAAGGTAATTTTTTGTTTTGGCGATAAGAACATCATGATCTGAGTTTTAACGTGTAATGAGAAAAACCTTCAGAGAAAATTGCTAAGCTATATCTGCCAGAGTTTAGGGTACATTCTGTATCGCTTTTACACTATTTAAAGGATGTGAACTATCCTGTAGGAATTTTCATTTGATTCTTTGGCTTCCATGAGAATAACGGGAGTTATTAGTTCATGAATTTCTTGAATTACACTGCTATTGACAAGAGTGTCCTGGTTTTCCTTGTTGGGAAATTTGTAAGCATGATCGCTTGAATCATTGGTATATGACTCTAGCGAGTAGTGCGTTTTTTTCACAATGCCTACTGCGCGCTTGACAATTCTGCTGCTATAGGAATGCTTTTTTAAAGCATGGTAGGATTGCTTTACCTTTTTTTGGTTCCCCTGATGATTTCTTATGTTAATTTGAGGAAACTCTATGTCATAGTCAAGATCACGATTGTAGTTTTGTTGAAAAAAAATTGCTTAAGGCTTCCTTTCTGGCTGTTTTTTAATTATTATAACTTTGCTAATATTGACTTCTCTAGCCCAAACATGATACTCGTTTCTTTAAAAAGCATTGTGCTCATCCCACTGACAAAAGATACATTTGTTAACAGTGCCATTTTCATATCAAGTGCAACTGCCACATTTTTTACAACATGTTTCGGATTTACAGCGCGTAGCTGTGTGTCCCAAAGAACCATATTTGTAACACTGCCTAACCGCAGGAAAATTAGTAGTTGCTGCATGGACCTTTAGCAAACATACATATGTCATACATTTGAACAGAGGATAGGTACCTTCAATGGCACATTTCACAGTTTTAGATGTTTCAAGATCTGATTCCTTCTTTTCAGTTTTATTTTTTCTAATTTTGTTAATTTTAATTGTCGAGGAAATGTTGTCAAGAAGGTTTGCCTTTAAAAGGTTATTGAAATACAGTATGTATAGAGTGGCCGCAAGAGGGTTGATAACCATCCAGATTTAAATGTTCGATTTTGTCATATAGATAAAGATCACTTTTAAAGTTCTCGTTTTCAAAAATTGTTCTGCGTTTTGTTGACAGCAGCACACTAGCTTCTCCTTTGAACGAGAGCTCGCTAAGATTTATTTCATTGGTGTTGGAATGTGGAGACAAACTGACTGACTCAAACTCCATTTTGTAAAAAAAATCAGTATTAATTTCATATTGTGATTCAATCAAATTTTAAAATTTGAAAATCAACTAGATGCAAATAATATGTTGTCAAAACAAATAAAATGTTTTCTGAAAAGATTTTTGGTATTTTAATATCCATACTATATCTCAGGTATTCACACAGGTAAACATTTTTTCTATGAAATACTATTGTCCTCAAAGTAAACATATTAAAATTGTATCAAAATCATACGAGCCGTTTAGGAGCGGTCTCTAATGGGTTTTCCCCACAAAACGAACTAACAGTGCTACATATACATAGGTGATATTATACAGTTGGCAAAAGCTCCTCTTCAATTCCGCCAGAGGGCGCTCACCATCAATTCCCCCACAGCTATAAAGCCGTTAGAGCTTTTACTCAAAACTCAGCCTATTTCAAATCGTCTAGGTGATAACATGGGAACTTTTGGACCGCATGCCCCATATTTATTTCAGCTCCTAAATCGATTTATGGAGCAAGCCAGTTCCATTTCTTGCTAGCAAAATGTTTAAGAATGAAAACCTTGCGCACTAGGTATAAGATCTGGATGTCCAGCAAGTTAGAGATGACAGAATGGTTCGATTCAGCAAATACGAATAATAGTAATTTCATCAAGTTAGTGCTAAGTATTCCGTATCTACCAGTTTTTTAGTGAATTGATTTTACTATACAGTTTTTCTTCGTTTTTAAAAAACGAAAAAAGTTCAAGAACTTACACATAGTATGTACATATGTATGTATGAATGTTCGTCGATTCAGTTGTCGATGTTATGTGTTTCCAAAGCTGGTTTATCCCCTATTTAAGTGCCTCGCTGATTGAATTTAGTGGATGCAATGGGTTTCGATCTTTACAAAAAAATACTTGAATTTTGTATTTGTAACAGTTCTTAACGGTAAAATGGCGATTGGGAAGGAACGTAACGGAATTTAACGGCACAATGCGACATTTGAGGGTTTGGTCAAACGGCTCGATTTTAGCAAAAGATTCTTTAAACGACTATGCCTATACAACAAAAATACAAGAGCACAAGTAATGAATTTATTTTCCCGATTGTCAAAGTCTAAATTTCGGAAAAAGAAACACACAAAATTCTGTATTTTGAATTTGAAAGCTTAATATTTTCCAAATGATTAACCTACAAAGTGTTCTGGTTAGATTTATAACTGCATTTATCAGCTTTTGAGAATTGCAATACAACCAGACAACCAGATACTTGAGTTATGTGAAAAACGGAGCACTATCCCTGACAAAAATAGCAAAAAAAGATTTTTAAAATAAACTCAAACTAAAACGAGGGGGAACGTTGTGAGTTGCTGCTGCGACCGCAACTCTACATTTATACCCGATACTAAGTCAGTATGGCTCTCCTCGGGCAGACGACGCTGACATTGAATGACAAGGAGAGCGTAAGAGAGAGACAGAAAAACAGTTAGAACGTGTCGTCGGGCGTTGCGTAGCGAGCGAAAATTGATTTGTAAATTTTTGGCTACAATAATTATCCGATTTTCTGATCAAAATCTGGTACATATAGTATACAATCATTCTGTATAATTGTGTGTTTTTAATAGTGATATCTAACAGAAGTGTGGATACCAAATTTGGTTTCTCAAGCTTTAATAGTCTTTGAGATCTGTGGATGGTTTCGTCCTTTTCCGGGGGCGGAAGGGGGTTGGGCGAAATTTTGAAATATACGTGTTGTAGTGAGATATAATAGGATTAACGATTGTGCGTTTTCTGTTTTCTCGTATCTTTGAAATTGTGGATGCCACAAATTTTCGCCCTTTGTGTGGAAGTGGGCGGGGCAAAATTTGAAATACACTTGTAACAGTGACATATCGGAGAAGTCTGGATGCAAAATGTCGTTGCTCTAGATCTTATAGTCTCTGAGCACTAGGCACTCATGGGGACGGACAGACAGACATGGCTCAATCGACTCGGCTATTGATGCTGATCAAGAATATATATACTTTATGGGGTCGGAAACGCTTCCTTCTGGACGTTACACACATCCACTTTCACCACAAATCTAATATTCCCTTATACTCATTTTGAGTATCGGGTATAATTATGAAACAATTGAGTTCGGTTCACAGCGGGAAAAAGTTAAATTTTGATACATAGTGTTATTAGATGTGTAACATGTTGTTTTCAACAGCGTCTAAAACGCAATCGCAAGCAGCGTCTTCGACAAAAAGCAATTGAGTGCATATACTGTGCCTATTGTGGAAATTATGGAAAATACTGGAAGGGAAGCTTTTCATCTCAGAGCAGCTTACCACAGCCATTGAACGGACTGTGCAAAGCTTGGTGATTGCATAAATTGTAACTTTCAGAACTTAACAAGCAGGAAAAATCAACGATAAGCTCGAGGCATAGGCCTGTAGAGGTGAAAGCTTTAACAAGAATTATTAAAGCCTTGACCTATTTTCAAGTCAACATTTTTTTGTATGCCCCAAAAGACTACTACTGGTAGATAAGATAAAAAGATTGTATACAAGATTTCAAGCAGCTACATATGTCTAAGAATCACCGCCGTACAGAGTAGTAGATTATGGAGAAGAAAGTGCGAGCTGGTAATGGAGGAGAGCTTCTGCCACCCACCTGGTGCAGAACCCCTTATCGGCGGCCCCGTGGGTGGGAGGTACGATAGCAAAAATGCAGCTAAGCGGTGATAAGTCCGGCGACAGCGGAAAAATGCAGAAAAATCAGCACGTGGTAGATAGCCCCGAGAGCTATAAAGCCATTCACGCCTCAGAGAAAGTGCAGAGTCAATTCGAGATGCAGACACGTCAGAAGCCAGAAGGCATCCAGCGAATGATGATGGCCTTGGGCACTCTGCTCCTGGCCCTGAGCCCCGAGGCTGTTGCAGCGAGCAAGTCTTTTTCGCTTGGGAACTGGCGTTTCAATGATCCCCACTACTCCAGTGACCAGTACGCCAAGATATTGTCGGAGTCCGGCATTGGCCACGATCAGGACCACACGGAAAAAGGTGCTGGTAAAGGTGGTGTGGGTCCCCTGCAGATCCAGTACGTTGACTACCAACCACACTGCGCGTCTGGCGGCGTGCCCGTCTGCGCCACAAATGGAACGGATCACTTCTACTTCGAGAACGACTGCCGCTTGGAGGCGCACAACATGAAGATGTTGTTTCAGTATGGCACAGAACTTGAGCCCACGGAGCTTGAGCGCTGCCTGCCCACTTGTCGGACCATGAAGTGCACGAAGATCCACCGGCCCGTCTGTGCCGTGGTCGAGATCGGAGGGGAAGGAAGCGGCGCTCAGACTCCCACTACATTCCCCAACGAGTGCGAGTTGCGGAGGCACGAGTGCCAGAGAAAACAAGGTGGGTGAGAATGGGGTCAGAACCCAGGGCATATAAGGACTAATTTTTCTCCCATCTGCTATTCATAGTAATGCGTATACTGCACGCCGGACCGTGCCCTCCGCCAACCAAGGGCAGGCGCAAGAAGTTGCGCCGCAACAAGGGAAAGCGGCCAGCATCCGCAGCAGGAAGCACAGGTCGTCCCAAGGTTTATGTGATGCTAGCGCAGTCCCAGCCATCGCCAAGGACAGGCACGACGACTACGACGCCTACGACAACAATGTCGACGATGACGCCAATCACCAGCAGCACGGCTCCACTGCGGTTCCGTCAGGTGATGAACTCCGGCAATCCGATGGTATCCGTATCGCGAGCCATGGACGCCTACAGTGTCTATAATATAGATGATGTGGGTCACGACTATGGCGAAATCACCGACTCTACGCTCTCGCTTTTTGTGCCCGGCGTGGGCCGTGTGACTGATGCATATCCCACTACCTCAACGACGACCATAAAACCAAAGGCAGCAACATTGACGCCCACCCCAATCATCAGCACCAAGGCTTCCCCAACCGTCGGAACCAAGAGCACCAGCAGCACCACCTCCACAGAGATGCCAGGGATCACCACCGAAAGCTCGAAGCACAGAAGACCAGAAGCAACGTCAGAGGCTTCCGATAACCTGAGTTATTACTCAACCACCGATTCATCTTCAACGGATAGAACAGAGCCAATTTGAGAGAGATAAAGAACCTGATGAACTTTACAATTAATATTTATGGGTCCAAAAGAAGATATTTAAGATATTTAACGGTTGGTTAAAGTCAAATCAAAGTCTCGATTTAAGCATTTGGCATCGTAAGCGAAAAAAGCTGGACAACCTGCTGGAGATTGGTTGGGAAAGGCTGTAAGTACACCAGCAAATTGTGAGCAATCAAGACCAAACACACTTCGAAGCGTCAAAGCGTAACGTTATGTTGTACATAACATACATATGTATATGTATATTTTATTTATTTTTATTTTATTAAAGCCAATCAAATTTATTCAATCCAATTTATGAATTCAGACCAACAAATTGTTATGTTCATGGTCATCAGCTGTTTTAGTGGGTGGTGGATGTGTTCATTGAGAATCGGCTAGTGCCAATAATCAATTTTTTCGAAAATTCTCATCGTTCTAACAATATGCACTCTGTGTGCAAAAGGTATGAAAGCGTGAAAAGAGCTATTAGGGAAGCATATTTAGACCCTATACACAAAATGAGTATAGGGGTATATTATTTTACCCGATACTCAAAATAAGGATAGGCGTATATTAGATTTGTGGTGAAAGTGGATGTGTGTATCGTCCAGAAGGAATCGTTTCCGACCCCATAAAGTCTTTATATTTTTGAGCAGCATCAATAGCCGACTCGATTGAGGCATGTCTGTCTGTCCGTCTGTCTGTCCCTATAAGCGCCTAGTGCTCAGAGACTATAAGATCTAGAGCAACGACATTTTGTATCCAGACTTATCTGATATGTCACTGTTACAAGTATATTTCAAAACTTCGGCCCACCACTACCCAAAAGAAGAAGACCCAGAATCTGTGGTATCCACAATTTAGAAGATTACAGAAAATTAATATTAGAGTTGCTCCCCATCGCTTATGCTATATTCTGTATTCTTAGTAAACTCTGCAACCAAACTTCTGCACGATACTAATGAGCAGTAATATTCTCTGGACATCTAAATTTTGTCGACTTAGTTTATGAAAACACATAAATGTGAAACAATATTGCAAGCGGAGAAGCTCAAAGATTAGACTCTGGATACAGCTAAAGATCTGCTAACTTTATACCCATGGTTCTATTGGCCGGCTACCGTCCATATGATATTAATTCAAGGTTCTGCAGTGATAGAGCATGCATTAGTGTGAATTGGAGAGTTTTACAGGAGGCAACCTAGTCCAATGACAAGGAAATACAAAAATGTGGACTTTAGCACAGTCGTAAAGTTTCACGTATTTTGACAAGTACAGATGTCATTAACACATTGTTATCACGCTCAGATCCATTTATAAGAAGACAAAGAAAACTTACAAAAAAGACAAGACGACTTTATTGAAATCATGTTTATAATTTGTCATGTATCATCCATACTGCTATTTATTTGTTAATCTTAGTATTGATATTAAAATCATTGTAATATGTAATTAGTTTTTTATTGAAAAATGTCCCATCACATTCCATATGTCGGAACTTCAGCCCGCTATCTATTGGAAATGATTTTGGCCACTGCTCCATACAAGCGAAAGCAGTGTGCCTCTAGATCGATTTGGGTTTTTATACCTGTGAATGCCTATATTTGAGAGAAGAGTACCTCAGTTAGGAACACAACAATGTATATGTATATTTTTTTGGTTACAATATAATCTTATAAAACGTATAAAACGGATTATCTAATTCAGTTCTTTGATGCTATTCAAAACAATCGATTAGTTAGTGTTAATGTTAAATATAATCACATTCCCTTGGCTTCCTGTGTTGTATACCCGAAGATGGTGCTTGTTCTCGCCATCTTTTCCAGACACATAATCCACGATTGTATTGTTCGGTGCATTTCCGGATGACAGTGATACCTCCGGTGCCGTCGAATTAGACACCTGTGTAGATTCTTGGCCCTCTTTCACAGCCACCGCGTTCACCCTAAAGAATGATAGCGATTCCGATGTATTGTCGTCACTTCTACTCTTATAGGTAGTCTTCGGACTGGTTGGATAAGATGGGCGAGACTGGTTCTTAGGAGTAGCGGCAGTAGGGCTGGGCTCTGAAGATGTTTCTTCCTCTGTGGACGCCGTTACTGCGGCTGTAGAGCTGGTGTTGGGGGTGGTTTCCCCCTCTGCAACATCATCTTTAGTGTTAGCCACAGCATTTAAGCTTAGGGATCGTAATAAAGGCTTGACAGTTGTAGCCGCCTCTTCTGTGGGAGCAATAGCAGTCGGGCTATAGGAGGCATATGCAGAAGAGTCTGAATAGGAAAGATAAGATGGTGACGCCTGATAGGAGGGATAGGTCTCATAGCTTGAAGGTTCAACTGTAGAGCTTGCTTCCGTTGAAGGATCGAGGGTAGTTTCCTCTTCTGAAACATCCCCTTTAGTCTCAGCCACAGCATTTAAGCTTAGTGATTTTAATAAAGGCTTAACAGTAGTAGACGCCTCTTCTGTGGTAGAAATAGCAGTCGGGCTATAGGGGGCATATGCAGAAGAGTCTGAATAGGAAATATAAGATGGTGACGCCTGATAGGAGGGATAGGTCTCATAGCTTGAAGGTGCAACTGTAGAGCTTGCTTCCGTTGAAGAATCGAGGGTAGTTTCCTTTTCTGAAAAATCCCCTTTAGTCTCAGCCACAGCATTTAAGCTTAGGGATTTTAATAAAGGCTTAACAGTAGTAGACGCCTCTTCTGTGGTAGAAATAGCAGTCGGGCTATAGGGGGCATATGCAGAAGAGTCTGAATAGGAAATATAAGATGGTGACGCCTGATAGGAGGGATAGGTCTCATAGCTTGAAGGTGCAACTGTAGAGCTTGCTTCCGTTGAAGAATCGAGGGTAGTTTCCTCTTCTGAAACATCTCCTTTAGTCTCAGCCACAGCATTTATGCTTAGGGATCTTAATAAGGGCTTAACAGTAGTAGACGCCTCTTCTGTGGTAGCAATGGCAGTCGGCCTATAGGAGGCATATGCAGAAGAGTCTGAATAGGAAAGATAAGATGGTGACGCCTGATAGGAGGGATAGGTCTCATAGCTTGAAGGTTCAACTGTAGAGCTTGCTTCCGTTGAAGGATCGAGGGTAGTTTCCTCTTCTGAAACATCCCCTTTAGTCTCAGCCACAGCATTTAAGCTTAGGGATTTTAATAAAGGCTTAACAGTAGTAGACGCCTCTTCTGTGGTAGCAATGGCCGTCGGGCTATACGAGGCAGATGCAGAATAGTCTGAATAGGACGGATAGGATGGTGTGCCCGGAAAGGACGGATACATCTCATAGCTGGAAGGAGCGACTGTTGAGCTTGCTTCCGTTGAAGAATCGACTCCAGAACTTTGTTTAGGAGAGGTTTCATCGCTTATTATTTCGGCAACGGCATTTATCCGTATGGATTGTTGTTGTCGGGCAGTTGTTGTAGCATGTTCTGGCGGAGCAGTCGTGTTGTATACTGGATAAGATGGGGAAGATGCTGTAGAACTGGGCTCTGTAGAAGCTTCATCTTCTATAGAAACGGCATTGATATTTATCGATCGTCCCAGGGGCTTGTCAGTGGTTGAGTCTTTTTCTGGTGTAGAAGTCGGACTATAATATGGATACGTGGTCTCCGGCGATGTTTCTGTAGTACTCTTAATAGTTAGCCCAACTGCGTTAATGCTAATCGATCTATTCAGAGTGTTCGCAAATGTTGAGGTCACTTCTGTAGAAGGAATAGGAGTTGAGCCGTAAGTTGATTTAGGATTATTTTTCGTTGGGAAAGTCGTCGAGTTGGGTTCTGGAGAAGTCTCATTATCTATGACCACGGCATTTACGGTTAAAACTTTCGTAGATCTCTGTGAGGCGACCGTAAATCCGGTTGTTTCAATGGACTCGGTCGTCTCAGTGTTTGTTTGAGGTTCCTGGGTAGTAGTCTCTGGCACGTGAGTAGTCGTCGAATATGCCTTTGGGGACGTCTGCTTCATTTGATACTCTGTGGGCAGGTTGTCCAATGAAATCTCATATGGTTCGTACGCTACCACCTTGTACGGCGGTGGCGGGGAGACAAGCAACGTTTGTGGCCTTCGCAATGGCTGTGATCGATAGGATCCGTAAGGTCCATACGAGGGCTGAATGGCGTGCATCTCGTAGGGATTATAGCTACGAGCGCGGGGCGAGTAGAGAGGTGGCAGTCTGCTGTCACAGGTGCCGTCATGCAGGATCTTCCACTCTGGAGGTAAGGCAAATGTATTGAAATTAAACTTATTCCTCCCACCGTCAGATATCAGTACTTACGATGATCTGTGCGGCAGGTGACCAGCAGCAGCTCGCAGTAGTTCCTAAAGGTGCGTCTGGAGGATCGAAATGTCGCACAGATGGGACGGAATTGCTCATTGCAAGCGTCCGGACATTCCTCCATTTTATCGCACCTGTCCTCGTAGATAATCTTCCATTCTGGAGGAGTAAATCCATGTGAGAACTGGGGTCGGATCAAATGCAAAGCAACACCTACCTACGCCCGTCTGGCGGCTGAAGCGATCCACCTCGCAGGGGCTAGGGAATGTCGCTGGCTGGGCGCCCGGGGCCACGGCACAGACCACACTCTCCTCTCCGGTGGGTGGACACGGCGATATGTCGTAGCGCGGCGGGGCAAAGTAATAGGGGGCCGCGTAGTAAGGCGCCGCGTAGTCATAGGGGACCGAGTAGTCCCATCCACCGACAATGGAGGCGAGCAGGCACAGACCAAGACCGAATAGACACAAGGTTGTTGTCATTTTGCAAACGATTTACTGTTGACTATGCTGTGACCTCGCCCAGGCTGAGCTTTTATACCAACCTCCAAACCACCCCCGGACCGCGATCGAGTGGATCGTCATTAATGGTCTCATTCCATTGCAATGTCTACGTGTCGCTGGCTCTATTTGGCGCTATTATACAGCTATACTTGCTGTTATAATTATTATTGCGCTACATTATGCATATCAATGGCCAGACGGTGGCTGGCTCTTCTTGCTTTCATTCTGTCTCTTTGTTGGTGATTCTTCTTGCTCATTTCATTATGAAATTACCTTTCGCCTATCAGTGCTGCGGCCCGGCCTTGAGTCATGCTAAAAATTAAATTGTCTGTGAATTGAAATTTTTCAACGCAAGCTAAATGGTAAGAAAAGATGAGCTGTGCTGAACTTTTAATATGTTTAAGCAGAGCCGAGACTTAGCAGATATCTAGGAAAGGGACGGACGAGTATTTCGGCTTCTCGTTAAATGTAACTGAAGTACGCAAATGCATTCCACATTTTGGCTTTTCAATCTCCGAAATATCACGTTAACACGATACTAACTCAGACTCATGTAGTTCTCGTATTTGTCTAACTCTCCCGCAGGGTGACAGGGCTTAGTGGAAACGTGACACACGACAAAAGAGAAGTTCACAAATGGATTATCATTATTTGTTTTCAAGTGTCGTCTATATTTATATTTCAGTTATAGAGCTTAGAGAGTATATTAACGAGTGTTATGAGTTTGGATGACGCTGGTTGATGTATGATAGAAAAGGTAGGACGGAGGCTTGGTCTTCGGGTTTGTGTTTGAGTCGCTTAAGATTGTACTGCCGACTGTTGTAGGGAATGTGCTGTCCGCACCCGCGCAACCGGCAAACTGAAATAGCACCGTCGATCCCCTCGTCACCTCCAGGGTGTAAACATCATTGCATGTGACTCCCTCCGATGCCAGGTCGGAAAGGGAAAAGCGCAGGGATCTTCCGTTCGAGCCCGTGATCTGTATGGTCACCCGATCAACCTATTGAATAAATGACATTAAATTGTGGGTTCTTTTGTGATCAACTGTACGCCTCAGCTTACGGCAGAGTTGGACTCTGTGGATGAACTCGTCGTAGATGCTTCGGTGGTTGTTGTTGTTGAAGGATCATTGGTGGTACTCGTCGTAGAAACTCCAGTGGATGTTTTTGTAATGGGATCATTCGTGATACTCGCCGTAGAAAAATCAGTGATTGTTGTTGAAAGATCATTAGTTGTGGTCGTCGGAGATGTTTCGGTGCTTGTTGTTGTAGAGTTATCATTATTTGTGGTGGTTATTGTTGTTGCGGATTGATCATTGCTGGTACTCGTCGTAGAACTTTTGGAGGTTGTTGTTGTTGAAGGATCCTTTGTTGCACTCGTCGTAGAAGCTTTAGTTGTTGTTGCCGTAGAGGGGCCAATGGTAGTACTCGTCGTAAAAACACCATTGGTTGTTGTTGAAAGATCATTAGTTGTTCCCGTCGTAGATACTTCGGTGTTTGTTGTTGTAGAGGGAAATTTGGTGGTACTCGTCGTAGAAGCTTCGGGTGTTGTTGTTGTTGAAGGATCATTAGTTATACTTGTCGTAGAAGCTTCAGTGGTTTCTGTGGAAGGATCATTAGTTACACTCGTCTTAGAAGCTTCAGTGCTTGTTGTTGTACTCTTCGTAGAAGCTACTATACTTGTTTTTGTAGACGGATCATTTGTGGTCGTAGAAGCTTCTGTTTGTGTTGTTCTTAATAGATCATTGCTGGTACTCGTCGCAGACGCTTCAGTGGTTGTCAAGGGATTATAAGTTGTACTTGTCGTTGTAGCTTCGGTGGTTGGTTCTGAGTAATAGTAGGTCACAGGTCGCTTTCTCGTGTGGAGCGCCTGATACGAATAGATTTTGCTCTCAGCGACGGGTCTTGTGGGAGACATGGCAGTGTTAAAAAACCAGTACGGAAACGCAGGCAAAGAATATCCACTGAAAGAAAAAGCCCTCGTGGACTCAGCAGTGTCATGAGGTCCGATGTGGGGCCGGGTCATGGGAATGCACGGCACGTGAGGCGAATAGCCTACTTGGGGCGACTCGAGTGAGAGTTGCGGTCTGTAGTAGTAACCCACATCTCTTGGAGGCTGATGGCAGTAAATCGAATCCACTTCGACGAATTCTAAAACCGTAAGGAAAGATGTTCACTCACTTGGTAGTTATTGGCATTTAAGAATTTACCTGCATGGCCAGCAAAGACAAGCCTTATATTGTAGTCGTTCAGGCGGCATATATTGGCGAAGCTGGTGTAGCGATACCCATTGGAGGCGCATACACGACCCCCGCAGGGTTCGTAGTCGTACTGCCGGTTGGCTTTTGCCTCGTGAAGGTACTGTCTTCTTGGAAAGTTCTCCTTCAAGTAGCCCTGCGAGAGGGTCAAAGCTGGAAGCACCAGGGAAAAGCAAGCAATGGCAAACATCATTCTGAATGTTCTTTTTGTCACTGATGTGGTTAGTCGACACCCCGTCAACTATTTATACAGCCAGCTTATTCCCACTCGGCCCAAATCTTCTTTTTTTACAGACGTCGGCCGGCTATCGGCATACGTGCCCAAAATGCGCTTTCAATTGTAAGCTTAGCGCCGCCAGCCGAAGCCTCGTCTCCGGTTCGCCGGTTCTCCACTCTCCAGTCTTGGTTTCCCTGTCAGCCACTCAGATACAACCAGGTGCGTCCCAAAATAGATCAGAACAGGAAATTTGCGTACGCAAACAAGAGTTCGTGATTAAAACTTTTTTTTAAACCGAAACGCTTTTTGCGGCATGTTCAAGCATGTGACGGCTTGTAGTTCTTTCATTGGTTTTTCAGCTTTGAAAAGCTTTCTTGCAAAACGGAAATGAAGCAGTGCGAAGCGCCACGCAACAACTGCTTCTTGAAGTTGGACCAAAAATGGAATACTATTGCTTGAAGGCTGACTGGGGTACTACTATCTAAAAGCCGCTAATACAATAGTTGTAAAAGTAATATTATGAATTTTTCCAACTTTTCGAACGCCACCATATTATAGAACTGGTAGCACTGCACAATATTCTAAAGCAGTGCAAAGTGTACACAAGCAGTTAGCAGCTCCTCAAGCAGAGACAGAGCTCACAAGCAGTAAAAAGTTCCCATAAGCTGTGTAAAGTTTTCAGGAATTGGACAATATTTTACGCACTGTAAAACCAACGGAAAGCAGTGTACAGCTAGCATGGGGGTTGCGGCGCTCCACCCAATTGTTGTGACGGCTTCACTTCCCAACTGGTTGAAGGGCCGCCCGATCGCCGTCGAATTCTGTCCGCCAATCTGAGCGTATCAATTTCTCGTTACTATTTCTGAGTGTTGTTCGGCATTAAAATCCTAAAATCGGAACTGCCACAATTGGAAGCTATAGAATTTTTATATTGCAGTCGCGGACACATGCACATGGCCCCCAGAGCTGAGGTAAACAGACTTCAGTAAATAGTGAATTATACCAAATTGCACACGTCATTGAATCAATTTCCCCCATTTCCTCACTGTCTTTTTGTGTAAGGCTACTCCGAGTATTTAAGCATTTGCTTTGTAAATTTCGTTTGGTGTTAAATGCGACTCGTCACGCACAGATCTGGCAGACGCATGAAATTTTATTTACTTTTGGGTCTCTAATGTAACTCGCCGACGCATTGGATACAATTTATTCAGGCATCCCATAAATATGTGCTTCGCATTTTATGCCTGCCCGAAAGCATTTCCCTGGATGTAAAAGAAGGGAGATTTATCAATCTAGGCAACTCTTCTGTCCCAAAGCACGAAAATCTTTTTCGCATCACTTACTGTTTACTTCGCGGCATTTTCCATTTCAGTGGTGAACTATTTACATGGTTAGGTATTCATGCTATTTTATTTTATTTTATTTAATTCTATCCAATTCTTGTATTGGACATTCTGAGATATTGACATTTCCACGGGATGTGGAATTTTCTTTGTGACGTACCCGCAACGAGTGCCGTGGCTCCTCTGTTGTGGATACTTCTGTTCTTACTGCTACGTTTATTGTAGTTCTGTTTGCTGTTCACTTTATACTGGGGCTTGTGATTCAATTAGCAGCTGCCTCCGGCCACGTGACCCACACCCAAGCGTTTGCTAAGGATAGGAGCAGCCAGTACAAATACAGACATAAGTACAAGTACGATGGCAACGCCCCAGACAATGACTGTAACATAACTATATTTAACCAAGAACTGCAACGGCAGTAGCGGCCGTTGAGCAAAAAAACAACGCTGCTCATTAGTCAGTGTCCCATCCTTACACAACTCCCTCACAGTACTTGCATTTTTATACCCGATACTCAAAATGAGTATTGGGGTATATTAGATTTGTGGTAAAAGTGGATGTGTGTAACGTCCAGAAGGAATCGTTTCCGACCCCATAAAGTATATATATTCCTGATCAGCCAAGTCGATTGAGCCATGTATGTCTGTCCGTCTGTCCGTTTGTCCGTCTGTCCGTCCCCTTCAGCGCCTAGTGCTCAAAGACTATAAGAGCTAGAGCAACGATGTTTTATACCCAGACTTCTGTGATATGTCACTGTTACAAGAATATTTCAAAACTTTACCCCGCCCACTTCCGCCCCCGCAAAGGGCGAAAATCTGTGGCATCCACAATTTCGACAATACGAAAAAACTAAAAACGCAGAATCGTAGGAGATGACTATACATATCTTCTAGAGTGCAAAATCTGAATCAGATCGTATAATTCTAATAGCCAGAATCAAGAAAACAATTTCATTCTTTCTCGCTCTGTCTCTCTCTAACACACAGGTTTCATGGTCGGTTTTGCCAATTGCAAAATATGAGTTCAAGGACCTCAGAACCTATAAGAGCCAGAGCAACCAAATTTGGTATCCACACTCCTGTGATATCGGACCTTGACCATTTTGTGTCAAAATTTCGCCACACCGCCTTCCGCCCCCGCAAAGGACGAAAATCTGAGGCATCCACAAATCTCAGAGACTATTAAGGCTAGTGTAACCAAACACACACTCCTTTAAGATGTCACTATAAAACGTATATCTCAAAATTTCGCCCCACCCCCTTCCGCCCCCACAAAAGACGAAAATCTGTTTCATCCAAAATATTGCAGATTCGCGAAAACTAAAAACGCAGAATCATAGATAACGACCATATCTATTAGATTGCTGAATCTGGATCAGATCAGATAATTTTTATAGCCAAAAGGAACAAATCAATTTGCACTGGCTACGCAGCGCCCGACGTCACGCTCAGACTGATTTTCTGTCTCTCTCGCACGCACTCTTTGTCGTGTCGTTCAATATTAGCGGCGTCTGCTGGAGGAGAGCCATACTGACTTAGTATCTGGTATAACTGTAGAGTTGCGGTGTCCGCAGCAACTCACAACGTTTCCCCTCGTTCTATCTATACATACGTAGATTTACATATGTATGCCTGATATATATGATATACATTGACATACATACATATACGTATGAATTGGCACAGTACATGCGACAGCAAAGGATTCGCCCCAATACGTGGCAGTGCCACCGCCAATACAGTGATGACAGGCGCTTCATCAAAGAGCTTACAAGTGTCGACATGTCCCCAAAAATTGCACCCAACGTCGATGCTAACACCATGACGGACAAACCAATCAAGAGTGTTCCGACAAGCAATGGTGGAGGCATTAAGAATTTAACCTCAGAGCGAAAGGGCAAAACCGAAACATTTTGCACATTGTGTTAAATCTGATGATGGGAGTAGGTTTCATTTTAAAGTATTTTAATTTGGGTTACACCTTGAAGTTACATGTTTTAACCATTCCTAAATTTCCCAACACATGTCCAAAGTACACTAAGTGTACCTAAAAGTTCAGACTCAAGTGTGTCTTTAAGCAGATATCCCTAGTCAAGGAGTATACTTATTGCGGAAGAATTAGCAGTGTCTTATAGTTCGACCGCACAAATGTCCAGTCATGAACGTTACCCAAACCACTTTCTTGCAAATGTTTAAGAGATTCTGAAATTTCTTTCAGTGGCTGGCCAGCCGAAATTTCTTTGAGCAGCTCTTAAAGTTTTCTATTGTCCGCTTTACCCTGACCACCGTGTACGCGGGACTAATGAGGCGACTGTTTATGCCGCTGTTTGTCTGTTTCGGGGCCCCGCATGGTGTCTCAAGTGTCGTCGTTTGCTTGTTTTCTCGCCACTTTTAGAGCATAATTTGGTGGAGGTCTGCCAGAACAGAAGCGCTGTTGGGCTGCCAGGGGGCTGAATTCATAGTTTATGATTCAAATTTAAGTTACTTTGTCTCACTAAAACATGTTCTTGCTAGCATAGAGCTGCACATTTTATTGTATCCGACTTTTGGGCGCATATTAAATTTTTATGACCGCCCTGCGGAGCACAGCGAAATTCGGAAAGGAACAGAAATAGGAAGACAGCAAAAAAAAACATGGAAATTGGATTCCATTTCAGTGCGCCCTCCGCTGTTTGGGCCCCTGCTTTTGGTGCTGACAGAGTTGCCATTGCTGTTTCTGGTGATGTTTCTGATGATGTTCCCTTTGTGCTCTTCGAGTGTCCTTTGTTGGTCGCCAGCTGGAATTAAATATACAGAATTTCGTAATTGAGAGCTTTATGTATTTTTAATTTATTTTCTCAGTGACGCTCCCTCAGCTGTCAGCGCGGCGTTTGATTAATTTTTCAAACAAACTGTATATACTGGACCCTCGACTCGCTCTCTATATATTTTATGGTGATTCTTCCCATACTGAAAGCACTCAAAATTGATGGCCAGTCAGCCGTATAACCGATACTCCTTATAATTGATTAGAGCCAACAGGAAGTGTTTGCTATTTATGTTTTGGTATTGTGGGCTTGGATCAGTATCATTAAGCCACATTAACCCAAATATCAATAGTT